TCGGGGGCCATCACTAACAGGTTCTAAAAATGGTTGATACATACCATGAGGCCTAGCAATTCCTGGACAGACACATACAAGAGACAGCAAGATATAAAATGCCACCTTTAAACCTTGGCATGACATTGCCATGAACATACTAAAAAGCTGTTGAAATTATCTCCTTAATATTAAGTTGTGATTCTCTCAGATACGATTCATTTGACTACATGACAACTTTTTGCTTCTCGACAGGCTGGTATAAAAAATATTCTTAAAATTAATACTAGATATCTGAGAAAACTAAACAATAATCTTATAATTCATGTATCCATTTAATATAGTAAGAGAATTATAATGCATACTTCCTGTCCATTCTGTAATATTCCCTCAAAAAAACCCCAATGTTTTAATTTAAGAGGATGCCCTAAAGAACAAGGAACTGTGCTTTACTCTCAGGGCAGCTAACCCTGCTAACATTCTGAAATGTGCTTCTGAAGACAAAAAATTTGGCAGTCACCTTGCAGCTGGGACAAATACTTTAAAACCAAGCAAACCAACCCCCAAACCCACAACCTTTGGATCTTGTAACATCCAGTATTGGGTTTGCACGGCGAGGTTTTGGTATCAAGGGCGCTACAGGGGTGGTGTCTGTGAGAAGCTGAGAGATGTCCCACAGAGCCAGTGCCAGCCGGCTCCAAGACAAGACCCACCACTGGCCAAGGCCCAGCCCATCAGCAGCGGCAGCAGCACCTCTGGGGTAACAGAGTTAAGAAGGTCAAAAAACCCCACCAACAGCAATTGCAGCCGGAGAGAGGAGTGAGAACATGCGAGAGCAACAACCCCGCAGACCCCCAGCCCAGAGCAGGAGGGGCAGGAGGGGCTCCAGGCGCCGGGGCAGAGGTTCCCCGGCAGCCCTTGGGGAAGCCCACGGTGAGGCCGGCTGTGCCCCTGCAGCCATGGAGCTCCACGCTGGAGCAGATCTCCACCCGCACCCAGGGAGGGCCCCACGCTGGAGCAGGTGGATGCCTGACAGAGGCCGTGACCCTGTGGGAAGCCCACGCTGGAGCAGGCTCCTGGCAGGACCTGTGGAAAGAGAGGGGCCCACACTGGAGCAGGGTTGCTGGCAGGACTTGTGACCCCATGGGGGACCCACGCTGGAGCAGCCTGTTCCTGAAGGACGGCACCCCGTGGGGGGACCCAGGCTGGAGCATTTCGTGAAGAACTGCAGCCTGTGGGAAGGACTCACATTGGAGAAGTTCGTGGAGGACTGTCTCCTGTGGGAGGGACCCCACGCTGGAGCAGGGGCAGAGTGTGAAGAGTCCTCCCCGTGAGGAGGAAGGAGTGGCAGAGACAACGTGTGATGAACTGACCACAACCCCCATTCCCCATCCCCCTGTGCCACTGTGGGGGAAGGAGGTAGAGAATTTGGGAGCCAAGTTCAGCCCGGGAAGAACGGAAGGGTCGGGGGAAGGTGTTTTTAAGATTTAGTTTTTATTTCTCATCATACTGCTGTGATTTGATTGGTAGTAAATTGAACTAATTTCCTCAAGTTGAGTCTGTTTTGCCCATGACAGCAATGGGTGAGTGATCTCTCTCTGTCCTTATCTCAACCCACGAGCTTTTCAGTGTATTTTCTCTCCCCTGCCCAGCTGAGGAGGGGGGTGACAGAGCAGCTTTGGTGGGCACCCGGTGTCCAGCCAGGATCCACCCACCACACATTCTCACTTTCCAATCTGCTGAGTACCCACCATCTAAGGGGATGCGTAGCTTCCCAACCCGTCCAGTTAAGAGGCAAGTAAGTCCCACGATCAGTATTCAGAAATATTTAGGCACTTCCAAAACTAGCCCTAGCCATTTTCAAAAAAGTGTTTTTTTGTTCTGATGAAACTTCTGAGTTACCCTATGGCAGAGCATGAAAAGAAACCAAGATAACTCCTTCTGGCCATTTACTCTGATCTGCCATAAAATTTACATGGACACAACTCAATTGGACCTATGTAGATCAAAACAGAAGGACAGATAAATATGCATTTCTATTAACCTTATTTTTAAAAAGCAAAATTATATGATTTTTCTCTTCTGTATTTCTTCCACTCTGAGTTCACAAGAAATTACATTTGCTCTTCCAAAAAGGCTCTCTTTAGAGAGGATCAGTAAAATGTGATTAAAAGATTGATTTTAACTAATTTTAAGTAAAGCATTAAATTTAAGTATTAACTAAAAAATACTCTTGTATTTGCACAGTGCCCGTTCTCCAAAGATCCCATGCTACTTTCCCAAGTCTCACCGTAAATCTGTGAAGTATTACCTTATCCATTTTACAAGCTGGGCTGAAGAGTTCAAGGTTGCTACTCAAGATGACAGAGCCATACCCCAACCCTTTCTAGACCCCCCTAGAAGCTGTGTAGAACCTCAGTGACTGCCCAAGGTTCTAATTCAATGTACAGGTATAGCCCCTCACACCTGAATGCTAACTTAATAATCTAGCATTCATATTTAAGGTTTCTGCCTTATGAAGTCCTGTGATACAGATATATTCAAATAATGTTTTCAGAGAAACATTATGGAGGAGGAGTTGATATAGAGACATGAAGGTACCGCCTTCTGTTACCCAGAGCGTTTAAACAGTAATGCTAGCCCAATGCCCAAATCTTCCATGTTTTACTTGCTCAGTTTTTATTTTGCTTTGTTTTAAGACTAAGCACAGACACTTAAAATGCAATTATTATTCCTAGTCAGTTGTATAAAGTTGCTGAAATTTTTGCAATCTCATTACGGAGATTTTCAAATCCAGATAGTCACCGTACCTGAATACAGCCTCATAAAGCACCATGTGTTACAGAGCAACACCTGTAACAGTTACATAAACCATATAGAAAGAACTGAGTTGATGCATATTTCCCATAATTCTGCTAGGGGAATCAATTCTTAAATTGATAGTTTTACTGTAAGAAAAATAAATAAAAAAGCATTAAAGCTCTCATAAGAATCTCAACATTTCTTGAGTCCCTGTTTCTCTCTCATGAGGTTTACAGTGTTCTTCTGTTTTTTAGGTATTTTGCTATCGAGAAAATAGCTCTTAATAACACATCATCTTAGCTAGCCACAAAGCACCTCCAAAGAGCTAAATTACATACAAGAAAGAAGAAAAACCATCTCTCAGCTATAGTTATCTTCAATTTAGTTAGAAGAGACAAAAACAATATCTGTGTTACCGTTATCTTCTCAATACAAGTATCACAGGTTTTAGGTTCCACTGACAGTAAGAACCAGCACACAAAACTGAGTTTGAACTAAGCATGTGCCATTATGGACAGCAATGAAATAAGCTAATGCTTTGTGGCTGCTTTTACACATTCCAATGTATGTTTTTGTTAAAAGACATTTTTAGGATCCTCATTATAAACTAAATATTACCAAATTACCTGGGGAAGGAATATTCCATTCATCCCTACAGATAAAATTGGGGTATTTCATCCTGGGCAGTATCACTTACCTTTTTCATTTATAGACTACCAGACTCTACAGAATCCAGAGCTGAAACTACATCTACACAATTGGTTCTTCCAAGACTCACTGTGTTTCTAATGAACGAAATTCATGATAGCATATACAGGTTACAGAAAGCAGCTTGCAATCTCACTGAAATGTGCAACTTCATTTAACGCCCTTCTTCTCTTTCCATCACACTAGAATTGTTAAAATATTTTCATTCCGGTCTGAAGGAATGTTACCTGTAAATATTTTTAGTGGCACTGACCACAAGACTACGTCACCAGTGCCACTACACGTGAATAGGTACTCCATTACAAAAACAATGCAAGAAATTTTCATCATCGCAAAGGTCAGGTACTTTAGGATCTTATTTCTGTGGGATGGAATAACGGTGATAAATTTGCCTTAAATGGAGAAATGAGAGAAAAAGGGGGAAAAAAAGGAAGTGTTATAACTTTCTGCCTCTTACAAATGGACTGAACCATAAAGGCTTTGGTAAATTTCAGCTGAAATAAGCTTACAAAGATCTTGGGAGGCCTTTCACTTTTGCTTGTTCAGAGACCTCAGAAGAACGCTACATAGTAATGAACATCTGCAGTGCTGAAAATAGGAAGACCTTGGCAGGTATTGTGGAATTAACCTGAAATATATAAATACAATTGCCCTTTTTCCTTTTCACTAAAGATTCAGGATTGACCACTGAACTAGGAAATAAGAAGAATATCTGTTTGAAAAACAGAAAAAAACATGATGACCAGCAAGAATCCATTTCATGTAACAGCATTCTTTTGGTTCAGGTTATTCTTCAAGGCAAGTTATAAATAGGACAACTCACTACCATGCTTATACTATTGTAAACTTAGTTACCAAACATGCTTTTCACCTGCAGCAGTACTGGCCCACTGTAAGTGAGAGAACAAAGTCCATGTCCCAGTTCTGGCCTTTTTCCCTTTGGCTGCTGGGGCAGTGGCTGACGGAGGTGATAGTAACATGCTCAGCACCTGGAGGGAAAAAGTGCCGCATGTCCCACACCAATAATTATGAATCCTTAAATCTATTGGAGTCATTATAGAAGGCATGGCACTTTAATCCCTCGTTTAAATAAGCACAGCCACTTTGTAGATGTTTGGTTACTTTGCTCAGTTTCCACATCTAAAGACAAAAAAAGTTGTATGAAATACAAATGCAGTAATCACCATTGCCTCCTCTGTTCTCGGTCTGTTGCAGCTCAGCAGAAGTTGTATGAAATACAAATGCAATAATCACCATTGTCTCCTCTGTTCTCGGTCTGTTGCAGCTCAGCAAGACTTAACACAGCTCAGGGAGTGTTGCCAATATTACAACTCAGGTAGCATTGCAAGTACACACTATCATCATCATCTGACCCTTTCACAGCATAAATTAAGAACATGGCATTCAAAAACACTTCCAAGCAAGAGATAAGAATGTGCAACCCTATCAATGTGTTAGTGGGCAAAGACACAGACATACACACAGAACATCAATAATACTTTTTTCCTTACTTGGCTTTACTTGTTCTTCCTGTGCTATTCCAACATCATCAGAATCAGACAGTTCCTTTATGAAGTTGGAAGGAAACATGCCAGTCTTTCCATTGAGAATACCTTCCCACCAGCCCTCTTCCACCTGCACCAAGAAAAAAACAACAAAAAAGGAGGTTTTAACATAAGCAACACTTCACAGAGTCATATTATATACGTGATTTTAAATAACAATGACAATAATGATTTTCAGCAGTTTGCATTAATTTCAGGTATAAGGAGCACATGGCATAGGCTCCAAGCCAGAACATACCTCTTTCTTTCCTTTTTTTTAAGTAAAAACAAGAAGGATGCATGCACCCATCTGTAAATGTCAGCAGTGCTGACAGCAGTCAGAAGCATGGACGAGCATTAAATAAAAGGATAAAAGAACAACTACAGAGCATATGGTGTCTCTACATTTCAATTTTTATGGATATAAGTTCAATCACTAAATTTTCAGAACACACTGTACTCCTATTGTATATATGTACATATATGTATATGACCATCTTCTTAATGGATGCAATTTGCAGATTAAATTCACTAAGTAATCAATGGTAAAAGAGAAATGCCTGCAAAGGGTTATTCAGAGAATCTAAACTAGGTATCTTAATAAAAATCATGTGAATATTTCTGCTTTCTCCATCAAAATCAGAAATTGTTTATTTTAAAAATTAAGAATGTTGCTACATCATTAATGTGGTAACGTAAGAAATCTATGGAAAACAAAGAAGAGTACTAATGAATATTTGACTCCAGATTTACAAAGAGCTACTGAAATACATAATAATGATATGGTCAGAAGGAGGAGAGACACTTCCTAGCCCAATCCCAAGAGAAAATACCACTTAAAAATTACAAACTCCCTCCTGTATAACCCATTCAGGACTGAATGGTGGTGTCAGGCAGTGAAATGACAGCCCTTAGAAACCAGATGCCTTTAGGTTATAATGGGACAGCAAGAAATGACTTATTATATGCATCAGCTAAACACGCCCTTGACAGATAAGCATTTTTCATCTGTCAGACACTGTCCATTCATGAAAAAAAATTACAGGGGAGGACAGTGTCAGTCTGTGACACATCAGTCTCCAACAACGTTTGATCCATTTCTTTCCTGCCGCCCAATAAAAATGAAAATAGAAAGTTAATTTACAAGTTGAGGGTGTTCACATTTACTGTTAAAAAAACAACCCCACATCTTAAATGGTACTAGTTAATTATTATAGAAAAAAAAAGTCTGTTTTGTATCACTTAGCTCTGAAAATCTCAAGTTCTTAGAAAACAAATACCTTAACAATACAAGCAAATATTTCCTCAAACTATAGAGGAATTGTTGTATTTTTTTCAACTTAGATACATGTACAGTTTCACTATAAAGAAAATGATTGTTACTTCAGGAGTGATTCCTGTGCTTTCTCTCCATCTTCAACTTTTTTAGCAGATTTCTTGTGCTCCTGGGTTGATTTTTTGTTTTAATTTGAAAGCAGTTCAGACCACCACAGCTACTTTAACTTAATCTCAGTACCTGCCCATGACAAAACTCTCCCCCCACCCAAATGCATCAGTAGTATTAGTGAGGTCAAGCACAACTCTGGGAATAATGGCTATTATCCTCCTACTTCTTCCGAGGATAGAACACATACAAATCACTCAATCACTTCGGTGGGGTGCAGGTTTTTCGCATTGTATTATCAAAGTCTCTAAAAGGTAATATTTGCTTTTCTTCTCTCGAGACAAATTAAAAACCATAGGGAAAACTGAAACTGCATGACACACAACACTTAGTAGACTCTACAAATTATATCTCTAAATACCTATATATGATATATTGTTATATAGAAAATACACATGGCCAAGACTCTTTGAGCTATAAAGTATTTCAATTTTTCTAATGCAGTATTCCCAGATGGCTCTGTTGATTAGAACTAAACATTAAACCATAACTGCATTAGCTGATTGACCAGAAGATTAATGAGGGGAATTACACAGTTCCCAAGATGCCTGCTTTGCAAGATGCTGAGTTTACTTGACAGAAATAAGGTGACCAGTATCATTCAGTTCCATCTTTCCCTCAAGTAATTTTCTCCTGCTTACTACTTCAAGGGTAACACTTCACAGTTTTCTTACAAGTTAATATTAGCACTCTTTAAGCGGCATGTTTATGTATGGATATCTATGTATGTACAAAGACCTTTAGACAGGTAAATCTAATTGGATGTGAATATACTCACAGCATTCACTAGCTTATTATAAGTTTTCCAGCTGATACAAGAACGAATTATCTGAAAATACCATGCCATGTTCAGTAATTTTACAAATTCAGAAAAATCTAAAGCAAAACCCAGATTTTTTTCCACAAGAAAATGCAGAACCATTTTAGCAAGACATCAGAGGTTCATGTCAAATTGGGCCTCCCAAAGATTTATTAGGAAATTTTCAAAAGCCTCAAAAGCTTTAAGTATTTTTAAACACTATAGCTACACGCTATAGACCTTTAAGCCTCAAAACACACCAGCTAGACATTAATCCATACAATAACGAAGACACTAAAATACCCCCAGGATTTAGTTATCCCAAATTGAGGCAATCCATTACCATATGGTTTGAAATGTTGCAATAATTCCCAGCCAATAAAACCTTACAAATGAAAATCCATTATTCATGGGGGTAATCCATCCGGATATACAAGCACTCAATAAAATTTGTCACTAAACTATTATAACAAAGTGCTTTCAGGATTTATACATCTAGGTCCTGATTTATGCCCAGCATTCACATACTGAACCAAATAATCTAAAAAGAGGAGGATTTCATTCAGTGGTCTCTGTCCCTAGGCCAGAAAAGAAGTTCTACTATTCCTAATATCCTACACACCAATTGTAAGTTCAGCCTGAAAACGAAGTTCTTGGTTTTTAAGTTAGAAGAAGCATCTTTCCAATCTGCCAAATGTAAGCAGCTACAGCTAGAGGTATTTTCAAGATGTCTTTTCAATGTGTTGTATCTGTTCACCGCCTTTCAAAGAGGCATTGGCACATCCTCATCTTGCCAAGCCCCAGGGCTGCCAGTACGACTGTCATGCCACATTTGAAAAGCAACAACACACCGGGAAGTGACTGAAGATACTTCATTACTCTGCTTCATATATTTAGGGAGGTAACAACACATGCACCCAGCTGCAACTCAGACAATGCCATGCGTGGGGCAGGGACAGATGCAATAGCAGACAGCTATATGCAGTCCAATGCCTGGCTGTGATTAAATGAGATACGAACAATATCACCAGAGAATGGTGCACCATCTCTAAAGAAATGCATCCCATTAAGAAGCTGTGCTTGAAGGGTTTAAAGGATTTAAAGGGAAATTTATTCTAGACAATAATTATGCGACATTCAAATGTTCTTCGAATATCATTGGGCTTTGGGGGTTTTTTTACATTTTCAATGAAGAAAGCATACTTGTATTTTGTTTTTAATTGAATTATCCAATCAGTAAAGCCTTTTTTGATGTAAATGAAAAAAGGTTTTGGAAACTAAACCAAATACAGATGAAAATCACTCAAAATATACTGTTTTACTTCATTAGAAAGTGAGTGTTTGATCAAATTGTGAGATGCCATCATACAAAAGGAACCCAGACTAGAAAGACAGTAAGAGGTTGTAATAGTTACTTTTACTTACAAATAATAATATAAGTAAGAAATAATAATGAAGTGCTCAAAATAGATACCATGGAAGTGGACAGACAGGAAAATAACAACAGAGAATTATATGGGTGAGACATTCAGGCACACAAACAAGAAGTTCTCAAAAGGGTATACAGATGTTAGGATATTAAGGTGCTTAGAAATCAACAAAATTTATTGAAATCAGCCTATTTCAATGTTCAAAGCACAAAAAAAAGACAAAAGAAAACAATATGACAGCAGTTCAAGCCTTCAGGCAAACATAATAGTTCTATTTCAGACCAGGAAGGCAGTTCTATTCTGTAATTGTAAAGCAACCAAAGAAAACAAAATCACTTTAGTAGGTCACTAGGACTACAAGATTAAGATATTCCAAAAGCGAGGAAAAGTTACTTCTTATGTTCTTCAGGATGTCTCTTCATGGCCAATCTGCAACATCCCCCTTTAAAGAAAGAAACGTCAGAGAGAGCATCAGCCTGAGCTGTAGTGCAGTAAACCTTGACGTTATAAGCCTAGAAGCACCTTCCCTTGAGGGAACTGGGCGGCCATCTCTGTAGCTTGAAGATGGGATACCTGAAAAGAGCCCGAAATTCTGAGGCCAGCTACCAGCAGTTGCTTGCCAGAATATCTAGGACTGCTACAGCTGCTTGCTTATACCTTTCTATATAATTAATAGGCTAAAGTTGTTAAATGAGTAAAATGTTCTGCTCTTTGGAATCACTGACCTGAAGCTTGTTTCCAATAAATTTCCATGTCTACCTGTTCCACAAGCTTTTCTATGACCTTCAACTTTGCCCATGAGGCTGACAGACTACTAATGGCTCAGCCATGGCAAACGAAGGAGGCTTTGAGTCAGGAAAGGTTTCAGGTGGAAGAAAGTCTCCCTGGATCACAACAGAGTCTTTCTGGGCTGTTAAAACAGTCCCAGGAATAAAAGCAATGCCAGAGGTAGGCAACAGGAAGGAGAGAAGCCCAAGGTCAACAAATTTTCTTTTGCTTAGAGATGACTAGAGCACAAAAAGCAAAGGAAAAAAACTCCCTTATTTTATAAATTCTGCGGGAAGATCTTGAGCTTGAAGGACAAAAGCAATCCTATGTTGAAAGGAAATTAAAAACACAGATTCCCAAGAGGCGAAATAAATAAATTATATTCCTTGCCAATGGGAAAGAAATTTTGGAAAGAAGACCTCCACAGAAGATGGTGCCTACAGTGCCACTTGATGGCTTATTCTGGGAGTGCATTCAGAGAGTCATACCCATGAGACATCACCCAGCCCTTGGACTTCTACTACAGCACATCTGGAAGCTGTTTGATAACTCTGGTGGAGAATGGAAGGATTAAAAACTGCACGAATACCTCATATTAGGGGATCTTTTCAGCTTCAGAGTTCTTTATTTTGCAATGTCAAAATGTGCTT